TCTGGCGATCCTGTTGTTGATTGCTTTCCACGGTGCGTTCTTGAGCAGAAGCCGCTCTCCCTGCTGCGCTACGGGTACGGAGCTGTCGAAGACCGTCTCGATCATCCGGTGGTCGGAGCCGTGCTCGGTGTCGTGCGCAGCGCATCTTAGTACCGTGTCTGCCAGCTCTTTTGACGCCAACACTAAGTCGATTGTCGTCTCGTAGTCTCCACACTGCCACGTCTTGGTGCCGCGCGGGAGCATACTGCTGAGCGCGTGTTCTGTCATCAGGTCGATGATCGGGTCTGCCTCGCCCTGTCTGACCAGCGTCACNTCCTCTCCTCCCCACAGCTGGTCGTGCTGATTGAAATCTCCAGCCAGCACCACATCCACCACCGTGCCGGCCCTTCTCCTTGCATCCTTAATCACCGTATTTAGCTTGCTGCATGCGTCTCGCAGTGCTTGCTGGTCTCCTCCTGGTATGTACACCGACACCACCAACACCCGACGCTCGTGTAGCCGAATGATCGCTGCTGTCAAGTCCGGTGACTCTACCCGTACCTGTTCCGCCTCCACCTCTCTGTTCACCCACAGCATGCTCCGTATCGGCCACCTTCCTTCTCGCCACGTCGATGGTACCATCTTGGTCCACTTGTGGTGGAACATGGGCGTCGTCAGCAGCCGACTCTGGATCCTCCGTGCATGTAGCTCCTGGACAACTACCACCGACGCGTCTTGCAGCTCTTCGTCGCTCATTAAACTATCGTGTACTTCGTCTTGCTTTCTAACATTAAGCTGGATTATGCGGAATGCTCTATTCATGTTGAGGCGGATATAGCATCCGACAGTTTCTGCTGAACGACTCGTGCGGTCCTCCGCACAGCACGCACTTCNTCACTACTTCGCTGCAGCTCTTGTGGCGGTGGCTCTCTTTCGCGCATCTCCCGCATTTCTGCACCTTTCGGCATTGATACGCTTTGTGGCCGAGCTCCTGGCAGTTGTAGCATTGCCCTGGTCGTGGTCGCTGTTCAAATGCGCTTGTTGTGCCGGACTCTCCGCCCGCGTGGAAGAAGCCTTCTGCGATGAGCCTCCTTGCGTCACTTTTCTTGGTCACGTACACCACCATAGAGCCGTACGCCTTGGGGATGTCTTTCTTGCTAAGCTACGCAATCTTGGCGACTGTCGTTCCATTCTCCTCGCTAACAGCTTCTGCTACTCCCGCTCTAATCTCATTTTTCTCGTCCAATACCACTGTTCTCTTAACATTGTCTATCTTGACTGGGTAGAGCTCATCGCGCAATACGCGCGAGCCTGCGCCAATCTTCTCTGCTGCTCTCTTGACTAGCTGGTGCTCATCTTCGTCTCTGCACGTGATCCTAATCCGGCTCTGGGTCGCGTGGTCGACGGTGGGCATCGCCAGTTTTCTTGGTTCTCCATTGTGCGCATCTCTTTCTCCACGGCTGCTCTAACCGCTCCTGCTGACAATCTGCTATTTTCGCTATCTGCCCTAGAAATGTCTATAGTGACGCTAGGCACGTCGATAGAGGCAAGGTTAGTTCTGATAGTGTGCTGCTGGCTTTCCAGTGGCGCGGCTGTGGCGTTTAATCCTGTGGGTGCGCCTGTGGACGCTACCTCGGCCCAGGTACGCGTACTAGGGGTTGCTGCCACGAGGTCATCGACGCGTGTCTTTAGCTCAGCGATCTCGTCAACAAGTTTCACATTGTGGTCGATAATCGCTTGCTAGTTCTTTCTAATCTCTCTAGTCTCGCGTTCGAGGTTCTGGATCGTTTCATTCTGCTGCTGGATGATCTTGGTTAACGCGGTGAGTAGATCTTTGTTGGTGGCGGTGCTCTTCCTGGCTTGACGGATAGGTTGGCTGCTTTCGATCTGGATAGTGTCGGAGTCGTCGGCTGATAGGTCTAGCTGTAGCGGTCGCCTGCGGTAGTGTTCGTTTTGCTCGGTGGTGTTCCTTGCGCGTCTCTTTAGTGGTGCTAGTAGCTCGGCTGGCAAGGATGTGGCTTCGTGATCGCGGTCGCGTTCAGGGGTCGAGATGGCCATCTCTCACGCGTCCCGATCGCAAACTCATTCAAGTCGTCCTCTCTACTCGCTTCGGCAAACGCTACAGTGGTCTGGGCATACACAGTAGCGTGCACCCACTTCCCACTGTGCTACATACCTTGCTTGCTTCTCAGTGCATTGAGTAACAGGACACATCCTCGATTTCTTCCTTTGAGGGGCTACATCGGCAGAAGGAAACCATATGTGTAAGGCTGTCGTAAACAGCGTGATACAGGTCAGGATCATCTCTTGTGCTCCTATACAAGACTGCTTGGGAACAGACCGCCTTTGCGTTCCCGACGTCGGTATTGGTACCCGTGATCGCCATTTAGAAGCAGTAAGTGCTCTCGTTCTTGATCACTATGACTATAACTTCAGGGTCTCCTTGTTCCGGCTCTTCGATATAGGCAGTGTAGTTTTGGTTAGTCTCATGCGAGAGCTCAAGAACACATTGAACTATCAGGCCGTGTAGGCTGTTTCGAGTTATTCTCCCAGAAAGACACCTAGGACGATATTCATCATACCTTGGCATCGCGAAGCAGAACAACTAGTTGTAGCTTTCCGCGGTCAACCTCCAAGGGCGCAAATGTTAGGTCTAAAGCCAGTGTGGCTCAGCAAGCCAATACAAGTACCAAAATAGAGAGCAAGCACGTCGCTATAGTAGAGAGATCCCGGTAGAATTACAGCTTATATATCTGTCTAGACAAGAAAAGGAGAACTGTCTCACAAGATTACGGGAAGAGTGGCAACACATAGTTACCAAATATAACGATAATGCAGCTAACCCTGCGTTGAGGAAGCACATAACACGGCTACTAACACTAGCGACATTTTAATTTAATAACTTACGCTACCTATAGAAAAACCTAATCGCTATATCAGGTCTTAGATTATCTTTATAATTTAAGGCGACAATTAAAGTGCTAGTAGCAATTATAAGAATGTCTAGGGGACATAGTTCTATAGATCTCTTCAGCATGTCGTTACAAGTGCGTCTTGTCTACTAAGGGCACTATATAAAGCTTGCAGCTAAGATCCCTTCTACTCTAAATGTTTTTTAAGTGTTTACGACTAAAATGCTTGCTAAGATCTCCTAGAGTGCTAAAAGCATATATACGCTGTGCTAGCGGCAGCCCTTCGTTACCTAGGTAAAGAAAACATACCCTTGGCCTTTTTTCCTTATATATAGAGACTTTAGCTAACTCTAATAGTTCTTGCTCGTGTCCTGGTTGGCTCTTGGCGGGTAGGGCAGCGTTCCTGCTTCGGCCTCCTTTTCGGATAGGGTTCATTCCCCCCTCTTCAATGCCACAATATAGAGTGACCGCATAGATAGCACAATTACGTCTAGTAACCTCCTCTTCTATAGTGGTTCCTAGTCTCGACAGAACTAAGTCGCATAGCTTTTTCTAGGCTGGGAGCATAATGTCGTGAACTAGCTCCAGATCGTTATTAGTTTCTAGCCTAGCAAGCTGCCGCTCGACATCACGCACAGGCTGCTCAAATTCCCACCGTTCTTTAACGTCCTTGAGAAGGGCGTGCCGCCGACGTTGCCTCTCCTGGTTAATCTTGGTAGTGAGCGCTTTATACTTAGGCTGTTTTATTGCATTACGAATGGTACTTTTAAGGTGCTCTTATTAGTTAAGAAGAGAGCGAATGGAAGGATCATCGTCTACAGATGCAGACTGCTCCTCCGTGAGTCTTCGTGGNCGACGACGATCAATCGAGCGGCTCATAGTACAAGCCGACCGCATAAGAGCTGCTTACGGCTAGATGCCTCTTATAACAGCCTGCGTATTAACTATAATACGTCGCGAAAGGTAATACTTCAAAAATGTCGCGATGCTGGCATGACCCATCATTAGGTTCTGCATAGCCTCACTAATATTACCTACATGGTGCGTTAAGACTACATCCTGCATTATACAACTTAGATTGAATGGATAGACTTACTGTTTTCGTTAAACGCCTTCTCTCTAGCGTATCTCAGCGAATAAGGACGGGTAACTTAAGCAAATCCCGTGATCTTACCTAAAGTCCAGATCTATAGAAGCAGGGTAGAGTAGGGGAGTAGTTTAGTAGGAGAGACATCCTAACTATTCAGAGTCTGCACTGCTTTCTAAAACACGGGAACGTTGTCTAACGTCTAATTTAGGCGTAATAGGAGCTCATTGCGGCCTAGCGGAATCTTAAGCCTACTTAACTCCTCTAGCGAGGTTAGATTATAGGCTGCAAACGCCCGATCGCGGAAGAGCAGGCTAAGAAGGAAGACGTAAGGACTGAAGAGAAGCGTCTAATCGAACATAATCTCAGGAAGAGGAAAGGTATTCCTTAAGGAAAATTCCATTAGCGTATAATATTCTTATACATAACAATAACGTATAGGTCTTTAATACTAAGAAACTCCTTCATGAATTCAAAAGTGAACTCCAGTAGTACTTAATAAGGGCCACCCTCAGGATCACGTAGAAGTGTAACTTGTATATGGCGATAACAGAGACTAAGGAGAGCCTGGGGCCGGTTCGCTGTAAACCCACCAAGTTGTAGATAGAGCTAGGCTTATATCCTATAGCGACCGTGAGGATATCTCTTTTCGGTTGTTACTAGATTCGTTTGCAGAACTTGAGCCAGATCCTTAACATACATGCAGGCTTTATCTCGACCAATCTTCTTTAGATCGTATTTCTTCGCCAGCTTCCTTAATACCTATTAGTTACGTTAGATATATATGCCCAAGTAAGAATGTAATTAGAAAGCCCGGTCACTGTACCTTATGTATACTCCGATTCATCTTTCCGTCTAGTTTCACACCAGTTGCTCTTTTATACATAAGCCAGAAAACCTTCTAATACGTTCTTAGAGAGCTAGAAAACTTAGTTCCTCAGCGTTTTCTTCCACCTTTACCCTGGCGCTGGCTAAGTAGCTAGTTAAAGAATATGTATAAGGTGCTAACTGATATAGTTGCGTAAGCACGGTAATAGTCTTTCTTAAGGTACGTCCAGCACCTATGCTGGGTCAGTTCATAGATCTAGCGTAAGCTCTAAGGAGATAGGAGACCTACTAGTTCTACTAATCTTCTATACGATTAAGTAAGCGAGTACTACTTTCCTTATAGTCTTCTTTAACGTATTCTTATTCGTTAAAATTCTTAAGTTGTTGAAGGTAGTATTCAGGCGGATAATCGTCGTTAGGGAAGACCTATACTTTATTCTTTTCGTTTTTGTCGGCAAATTCATCTACGTCTGTTAGATCTATATCCAGCTCTACACTATGCTCTGTGTCAGACGCAGAGTAATCGCTGTTGTTGGAAGAATTTTTAACGGATGAGTATTGTGGCATGTCGCGCAATATATGCAAAAAAAGAAGCGTGAGAGAGAGGTAAAGCAAGTACACGCAGAGCTAATAGAAGCAGAGCATGCGCCTATAGTTGGGTGTCTGAGGCTAAGTGTAAAGGGAAACAAGAGTAACACAACGAGACTTTGAGTTTGAAGGAGAATGCAGGCTGCAAAGGAAANAAGAAAAGGAAAAGAAGGCCTGGTTTGTATTGCTGCAGACGGGGAGTAGAGGGCCTTTAGTACTCCATCAGCAGTCCGATCCTGAATTCGGTTAACATTCACTTATAGTGTTTAAAAAAACGAGTCAGGTCACAGGCATGCTGCAGCATGCCTAACGAGAAAATAAATTAGCCATTACAATTATTTAACGCCTACGCTAGCTAAGGTAGGAAAGCCGGAGAGGTTTCCACTCGGGCCACTGCCCGCACAATTAGGGGGGTTTTGTGGCAAGTTAGCATCCATAAACGGCGTCACAAGCTACCAAAATCAACAGCGAAACTGCCGTTGGATTGTTTAAGATAGTAATACTACTCTAGAGAGATATTATGATATTAAGAGTAGATAAAGAAAAAAAGAATTATAATTAAAAGTCTACTACTATATATCTATAAACTAAATAAGTTAATAGAAAGAGTAGACTAAAAGCTAATTATAAAAGTAATTAAGATACGTATAACTACGAATCTTTTAAAAAAACTATAGCTAGAATTAATAAATACTATAGTATACTTATATAGTATAAGTCTGATAGTAATCTATAACTTTAAACTATCTAATAAAGTACTAGATATAGAGTTTAGAGAAAAACTTTAAAGATTTAGTATAATATAGATTAGGCGCGCGATAACTAATCTCTATCTAGACTAGAGCAGAATCTATACCTATAGTTATTACGGAAATTTATTAGACTAGAATTATATAGCTAAATATAAAAAAAAACAGTTCTAAGTTAATTTAAAGATCTTTATTAGATACTTAGTTAGTTATATTATATTCAATATCTCTTCAATATAGACTCTAATACATAATTATATTAGTTTACTAATATAATTTAACGTGTTTCACCAGTAAGCGGGCCACCCCAGTATGTGGGCCAGTCAAAATCTCACCAAAAATCGCGATTGACAGGGATCTAGATCTAGAGAACTACTTAATAGATTTTCTCTAAAATCTAGTATATAGGCTGCACCTAGATAATCTATAAGTATT